GTGAAGAGAGTTTAGATGTAGTTGAGGAATATTTGTTTGAACTTTTTATTTTTCAGGGTTTTTAATAGAGAATAGTTAATTTTTTCTTTCTATTTTTCACTATTTCCAATTTCACTATTGTTGTTGATGAAAGTCGTCGAATATTTTGTAAACCTTTGTAGGTATGTAGACTTGTTTTACAATCTGTGAGATATTTGAATAAGCCTTATGGATATTCTGGTCAGCTACAATAGGATGTTCTAACGAATATTACGTCTGTTCGATTGGTCAACTAACCTAAAACAATAATTTTATCCAACAGTATGTCAAATAAATGGATTAAAATGTGATATCAAGCATCTTGACTCATTGTCAATAGAGATAGTGTTCTTTTTCTACTTTTAGTTTTATTATACTCACAATACATTTATCTAGTCTGGGACAACAAAAGATGCATCAATGTTTTTTGTCTTTTATGGAAATATACCCAGTCTTTTGTCTATAGAAATGGCTCTTGAATATCAATATTAATATACTTATTTAATTTTAGTAAGTACAAAACACAAAACTCGGTAAGTTATTAAGTTATTTTATATTACAGAACAAAACATATTATAGACTTGAAATAAATTTGACTTGCGTTTGTTTTCGTACGACTACTGTTTTTTTTTGAAGAATACGTTTTGCATATTCTAAGGTTTTCAACTAAAACTTATCTCTTAATAATAAATTTCTAGAATCATGAATAGAGATAAACTATCGGATTTTCTTTCAAAATATTGTAAATTTCATATTTTTGACTATATCATTCATATGGATCTTGTTTTTCTTTATTTTAGCATTTTTGATATTTTACAAAAAAAATATTTAACATGGCAACGAATTATACTCAATTCAAAGGACAGATTTCTAAATCTCCTATAAATTCTACTGATTCTAATAAATGGGTGTGGGTATGTGTAGGGTTGTGAGTGTAAATAAAGAGAAGAAACTGCAGAAACTCACGCCCACACTCTCACGATATTCGAGTTACCTCTACAAATGTTGTTTTCAATATTTTGAGGTCGATTTTTCCGAAAAAAAGAATCTTCAAAATACTATTGTATCACACAACCACAAAAGAACAACTCTGAGGAAGATTTCGCCTACTAAAATTACTTTCATATATTCTTTTGAGTTAAGACTTACAAACAGATAAGCTAACAACATTTGTCATTTTCTTTAGATTCATACATGTTTTCGTTTCAGATTTGAAGTAAATGGTTGGTTTTTCATCATTTCGCTATTATTTCTATAATTTAGATATGGCCGTTGTCTTATCTTCTTTCATAAATGATCTAGCTCTGTTTCATAAAGTGTGTTAATAGTCTCAAAATGAACAATCGCAAAAGAATAATAGATAACATCTTGTCTTTGTTAATGATTACGTACACTACTTTAACAATTTGATTATCAAAATCCATGGCTTGTAATGACAGTCTCCGATATTATCTTCGATGTTATTTTACGTCAATGTTTAAAATTTAAATATATGTGGAAAATCTTATTACGAAAGATTTTTCAATTGAATATTGTCGACCTGTTTATTATTACAACTTTTTTTGATAGCGCCTCCATTTTTGAGGTCTTTCTGAGTGAAGAAATAACATCACAGTGAAGTTCTTGCGTTATTATTTTTCAAATGGGTTTTTCTTCAATTTATTTGATAAATACATATATATTAATTTGTCATGGTTATTTTACAAAAGATATGATTTCGTTAAACGAAAATAAGAATCTTGAGGGTGTGGATGAGCCGTAAACTATTAAGTGCACTCATACCCACACCCTCAATCATATTGTGTTTCTTTCTTTTTAATCAAAATAGAGACAACCTCAGAATGCGAGAACTAGTACAACGTTTTGAAAGAGTCTCATTTTGATAATTGATCTTCGCTGATTTCTGGCTACGAGTGTGAGTATTTGTAATGGTGAATTAACAGTAGAGTCACGTCCTACATCCTATTCACTGTAAGCTTAACCAACACAAAAAAAATGATAAAAAAAAATCTTTTTTTCTCAGAAATAGTTGAATACCCATAGATTTATCCATAATTAAGATAAAATAAGCTGTTACAAAATGTACATGTAGAACGAATAAAATCATTAGTTTTACAATTGTAAATATTGAACATGATGTGGATATACTTTGAGTGAATGAAATGTTAAGTGTTGTTGTTGTTGTGATGTATAATCAAATTGAAAATTGGATTGAATCGAGATTCATAGGTAAAATTTGTTAATTGTTCATTAAGTTTAAATACATGTACTGATCGTGTACCAGCAAATTGAGCAAGACCAGCTTTGAGAAAATAATTCATCACAATAAATCGATTTTCTCCATTTGGATGTAAAAGTACATGAGAACCTGTTATATTATTATTATTGACACAATATTCACGAAACGTAGTTGTTTCATTTGTATCAGAATTTAAAACTGACACACTATCAAGTGTCTGATCATAGCAAAAATCAAATACATGAAGAGTTACTGGATATTCAGGTTGTGTTATATTAAATAAAATCATAAATCGCATTTGAAATGACATTAATAATCGTGTACCATCAGAAGAAATTGAAATGAGTCCTGCACTGATTAGTTTTACATAATTATTAACTTCTGAAATATCGAAAACCGCCAGAGGTTCAGTTATTCATGATCCAATCAAATCTAATATGTTATCATTAGTACCACATGAGTATGCACGTTTTTGTGGATCATTTGGAATACTTTTAACATCCATAAAACCAATGCCTTGTCCAACTCCACTGTTTTTTCCAGATTCATTAGAAAAATTAAATTGAAATGTATGTTCTAAACTTCCATCTGCTGATAAGTATCGAACAGCATTACGAAATAATATCTTCGAAGAATCATTGCCCAACAATATCACAGGTCGAATATAATCTGGAAAGAATAGAGATTCATCATTCAGATGAGTAAATCCATGAGGATTAAAATTAACGAAAGTCGAAGCATTATTAAGAATTGATGTTGCAGTGGGTG